TTTATCGTTTTAGACGCACGATTAATGCGTTTTTTTTTTTGTATTGAGAATACGCTAATCAGTGTTTCTCAAATTGTGGTTAGAACGTGTGGTTGGAAGTCTATTCGTTTCCATTAAACAATTCTATACAAATACCATTGGTATTTTTAAATGTCTACATAATACATATAAAATATTTAAACATATATCAAAAATAGTAAGAAACTCGAAAGTTTGGAACAGCTGAAATTTTGTATACAGGGTGTTCGGCCAAACCTGGGAAAAATTTGAATGGGAGATTCTAGAGGCCACAATAAGACGAAAATCAAGAATATCAATTTCTTGACTGAGGCTTCGTTAAAAAGTTATTAACAATTAAATTAAAAAATTTCAAATCGTTCTGGAAAAAATTATTCTTGGTTGCGGGGGTCAATTACAATTGTTTTTGGTGAATAGACATACCCCCGAAATCCTGCGCATTTTCGAGAAAAAAATTCAGTACGGGCGGAACTTTAAACGTTAATAACTTTTTAACGAAGCCTCCATCAATAAATTGGTATTCTTGATTTTCGTCTTATTTTGGCCTCTAGAATCCCCCATTAAAATTTTTCTCAGGAGTGGCCGAACACCCTGTATAGTTTCATCATTTTTAGTAATTATTTAAGATATACTTCACTGATTTTAATAACTTTAAACATATGTTGTCAAGGTCAACATTCTGAGCAACCTTTCCGAAATATATGCAAAATTTTTATTTTTAATATTATGTACATTTTAAAGGTTTGACTTGGATTTAAGCTGAATTAAGGTTCGGTTTAGTAAATAAGCTTACACAAATTTATTGATTTCTCCCAAACCTTTAAAATACGAAATGTAGTGTTAAAATTATTTGTGCATATATCTCTGAAACTAAGGCCAATTATATGTACAGGAAAAAGTTACTCGAAATATTGACCCGGATGACACATTTTCAGGTCATTGAAATCGGTGACGTGCATCCTATTCCTTATAAATATCACGCGTTGTGTTGTCTGTATTTATAATATATTACTGAGAATGAATTCATCGATAGTTTTTTTAATTAAAAGATTCGCGGGTAGTTGGAGTTTGAGAAACACTGCGCTAAGCTAAGCCGCTGAACGTGGGCACTGACGCTTCTTCTACGATAAAAGATAATTTAACGATTACAGTATAATGTCTGTCGTTTTGATCCATCGGGGATCAATGTAAATCTTCGAATTATATTTTATGATTAGAAAATGTCTAGATAATAGTAAAAAAAATGGTTTATCTATATAATTGTTTTCTCTATCAATATTAAATTAAAGTATTGTTATGTTTTAACGATCTTTTAGTAAAAAGTTTTGGCAAAGAAAGATAAAGAAAGATACATAAAGATGTTAGAAGCGTGGAATGAAGGAAGAGAACTAAGAATGTAACTCGAACTGTTTACATCATTATCTGAGCTTCTTAATATTCTATAGCTTTCGTTTATATAACACTTTCGTAAGGTCACAAATCATTTTAAGCGAATCGCTTCGTATCAAAACCTCTCGTGTATGTTGTGCATAACTTTCGAAACGGTCGTTAACTGCGAAATCGATAATGTCGTTCCTCTCGCGTCCGTACCGCTTTCGTTCGACTCCGCTAGAACGCGTAATTCTCGATACATTCGATTAGAACGTATTTGGAATGAAGAACGACGGTCGTTTGAAAATTCAAGGCGTCTTTCGGAAGCATGGACGATGGTAGATTCGCATCGTATTGTATGTTTGTCGCGCCACGTAATTGTGACAGGGTGGGGACGCGTGTGCGACGCTTCGCATTTATAGGTTAACTTTTCGCGCACGGACGATCAGTGCCGCTTGAACGAGGGCTCCGTGCTCTCTCGTTGTCGTGAGGAGGTTCTTTTGTCTGTCTAGTACTTAAATCCTCATCAAGGACCGTGGCATTCAGTCGTCGTGTGCCTCGAATTCACCCGGAATCCGAGCTTCGCAAATATAGTGAATTTTTCGTCTGTACTATTCATAACCATCAACAACACGGTGATCTCGTATTATTGACACCTCGTCGCGGTGTGCTGTCTGTTAATCGACCGTCGTTCCTGTTGCACGAAAATCACTCGAACACGATGACAGAAGAAAGGATGTCGAATACGTGAAGGGAACAAAGTTACTTTGTTCGAGGAAGTTCGAGGAAAAACGCTATACCACGGTGTTCGCGTATAAATAGAATCACCGTGGCGCGCAGTGGTACGCAGCAGCTATACATACGTCCACGAGCAGCCAGCAGCTTCACTGTTGGCAAAGTTGTCATGACAATTCGCGCGTGCTGTATCGTTTCACGAGGTGTGCAGTGTCGTTTCGTTCGCGTGCATCTAATGTTTCGTGGCTGGACCTTGTCGAAGACCTGAGCAGCCCGAGTCGAGACGCGTCGCCGCGCCTATGTGCATCGTGACCGGTAGTGTTGCGACACGAGGTACAACATAACGTTTCAGTCGGTTCCATTCGCGAACTTGTACTTTCCACCGTATCCACTATTTGTTTATTTGCATTTAGTGACGTCGGGTCCACCTGGTTTTGTGCGAATCGACTGGCACGCGATGCCAGTACGGTAGAGGTTGATTCGGGGCGCGCGAGTGCGAGAGAGGATATGGCAGCAGATTTTGACGATTGATACTGCTAGTCCTGGCGATCGCGCAGGGGCAGTTTAAAACGTGCTAAAACGACGGACAGCGTAGGAAACCTTGCGGAATAAAGTGACGAGAAAGAAGAACGTAGAGCGCGCAGCTGCGCGCACTTCTACGAAAATAGAACTCTGCACGGTGTGTGTGGAGGCCAACACGACGGAAGGAGCGCGTAGTGTGACATTAAGGCGATCGTAGAATGTCGCGCGTGTCGCTCAACAAGTCGCAGTATAGCCAGTACGGCTCGCGTCGCGTGCGGAAGATCAGCACGGTATGTTTCTAGGATTCGTGTATATTTGGTAATCGCTTGCGTGCGTGCTTACGTCCGTGCGCGTTGGTAACGCGCCCCTCGACTTTCATCCTCGGGTGATCTCATTTGCCACATCGCGTCACGAACCGCTCTCGTTCGTTCGTTTAGGGCCGACACGTGACTTAGCCTTGACAGTCTGCGGTAATTTACACTTTCGTAGGAGTATGATGATGATACGCGAAACGTGTACGGAGTTACACGCTGTGTGCATACGTATGTATCTTACCGTGCACCTGTCCGCCGTTGCATCGCTTGTGTGCTCGATTTGCATCCGTCGCGAATACAACGCCGACCGTCTCTCGAGAAACAAGGTCGAAAACAATACTCTCGTCATGGTTCCTTCGCCTTCACGTTAGGTGGCGCACGTTTTACCGATTCTAATGACAGCGGATCAGCTGATCAGGCTGACCTTCCATTCGGCCAAGTCACCATCGAGTTGTCCCTCGATGCACTTGTACAAATAGTCCTCGACTTACTGACGTAGTTCCGTTCGATAACTTTGGTCATAATTCGAATTTCACGTAAGATGCGTGAAACATACGTATGCCTAGCGAATAATAAAACAACCTAGTTTAAATGTTATTACATAATGCATAGATTGAAATGAGTATCTACATACATAATCGTAGAATTCAAATGGAAATAGTCTTCTATGGGTTCTTAAAAGTCATCGTCCGTGCTTATCATAGCTGTTATAATTCATTCGCTAGACTTAGTTAGAAGAGTCAATTACTAGGACTTTTTTCATTTGCCCTTTTTTCTTTGCCACTTTCCATTGTAAATTTCTTAACTGATAGACAGGGTTTTCTTGTGTCAAGCTATTATACAATGTAGTTAAGTAGTTCAATACCCAATGATATTATAAAATGACAATAGTTTTATTTATTTTTGTACGATCGTAAATCAACGCGGTTGTAAGTCGAGAACTACCTGTACACGTTAGCGCTACGTTTAAATTCGCGAATGTATCGTCACTCGAGGTCATTGCTCGGGGCTGCGCTGTTCAGCGAAACATGTCCGCGGATCTCTCTTATTGATACGCAGAACGCATTCGAATCAGAGTGAACGAAATTATCGATTCAAATAAATCTTTTTATCAACAACGTCCCTTAAATTTCGAAAGATGATAACAATAAATTTATTATTCCTTTGGTTATTACCTATTATGTATTATAAGATGATTATTTATTAAATCATATAGAGCTGCTTAATTTCAGTGTTTTAATTGTCTATCGAGTTATACTAACCTTTTTAGGGAAATATTAATTTATGGGTTGTAATTTTGGAAGAATTGAAATAAAAATGGTAGAACAATTTCGTAAATTATAGATGTTTTATTCACTTTCTCTATTAGATTCGTTGTAAATGCTACTTTATCATGGATAAGTGTAGCCTTAGGGACTGATTAAGCCACAGTGGCTATACAATATCTATGCTTGCGTCGCGTTATGAGATACAATACGGCATCGCCGTTCGTTCTCACATTACGCTCGGAGAGGTATCTTCCGGAACAGCGTTTGCATTAACTTATTTCACGGTGGTTTATTTCAGTTTTATGAAATTTTCGTTCTCGTTAAAGAATTCATTTGTGAATTACAGACCGAAATGTATATAGTTTCAGTCACATAGGTATGTATGATTCTGTGAAGAAATCTATACAAATTCTTTGCTACGAGTATATTAATCAGTATCCTTCTGGATACTATAATGATCTATGAAGTATCTATGTGTTTATACACAGGCATAAAAGGATGCTTTTTCTTGCAGCATTCAAGGTGAACTGCCACTACTTTACTCAAGGCAGACACAAACATGATGCTACGATGCAACAAGATACTAAAAAATATTTGATAGAATTTTCATTTAAAAATAGAAATAAATTATTTTGTCCCTTTCGTTTTCCTTTCTTCTGTGTATATTGAAAATCAATGATAATAATATTGATACTTTGAAACATAATCTACAGCAAGAAAGTTAATTGTATAATCAAAGTATTTTCAGTAAAACAGTATTTTTTTTTTACAGACGGAAAGTGAATATTCTGTAGAAGAGCATGCAAGATTAACTAGTACTGATGGAGCAGGTGACGAAACATCTCCAGACGATGAAGGGGGTTCATTATGCGAGTACCATGATATACCACCACCACCAGATGGTGGTTATGGTTGGGTGGTGGTATTTGCATCATTCATGTGTAACATGATAGTAGATGGTATTGCCTACACATTTGGTGTTTTTCTGGGAGAATTTGTTACATATTTTGAAGAAGGAAAAGGCAAGACTGCATGGGTCGGCTCATTGTTATCTGGCATGTACCTCAGTGCTGGTAGGTATTCTTATTATGGTCATAGTTCATTTCGTTATAGTTCATTTACCATTTTTCAATTTTCTTCAAGGACCTGTTGTCAGTGCTTTAACAAATAAGTATGGATGTAGGGCAGTTTGTATGGCAGGCAGTTTTTTAGGTGCAGCGGCATTTGTACTTTCAACATTTTCAACTAGTGTAAATATGCTAATGATGACTTATGGTGTTATGGGAGGTGTGTACAACATATTGGATTACTATGTAATTCATCCCTTTGTTGTAGACATTTTGGTTTAACTGTATCGTTTATTCTAGGAATTGGATTTGGTCTAATATATTTACCAGCAGTAGTTTGCGTAGGTTATTATTTTGAAACCAAAAGATCTCTAGCTACAGGCATTGCTGTATGTGGTTCAGGATTTGGCACATTTGCATTTGCACCTCTTGCCACAATGTTACTAGAATCATATAGTTGGAAAGGAGCAAATTTAATTCTTGCTGGCCTTATTTTGAATTGCGCTGTAAGTATGATATTATTTATGAATGTACTATTAAAGAGCAATGTATGTTTACACTTTTGTAGTTACAAATGATAAGTTACACGTTATTAATAACGGTTAATTTTAGGTGTTTGGTGCATTGATGAGGCCATTAGAATTCCCGAAACCATCTTCTGTTAAACCATTATTACAGAGAATGGCAGAGGAAAAGAGATTTCAAATGGAACGGGGGAGTATTGGGGGTTCTTATTTCATGGTGCAACTACCTGATGGATCCATGGAAAAAAGAATGAAAATGCCTATTAACATTGATCCTGGTGTTCACTCCAGTTTCAATTTAGACCAATTAGTGCCTGGTACGTAAATCTTCATTAAAGTTTATTTCACCATCATTAGAAAGACGTTTAAGAAGCGTGCTAGATATACATATACACATCATTCAAAACTCATAATATTAAAGGAACTCCTTTAACACCAGTTCCAACGGTGCCAACCCTCCCCACTATATCGGAAGTGAAAGTACAAGAACATTCGTCTAGTGGAGCAACTAGTAACAGTGGCAGCATGGATTTAAAGAATATTTCCACCAAGTCAAAGAGTAAAAGGAATATAGACGATACCAAAGATGCATCAGAGAAGTCTGAAAATGAATTCAAGCCAATTATGCCTAGAAATGCTTCGCAGCCTGCTTTCACGACGCACGTGCAAGGATTACCTAAGAATGGATCTGTACCTTTCTTCGATAGAATTCGCAAAACTAGTACCGGTGAGAGATATAAGCCGAGTCTTAGCGCGATTAAGAATTCCAGGACAACGTTGAATTCTAATGGCGATATTAGAAAAAGCTTGCACTTAAGACTTTCTACAAGCAGCGTTATGGGCTCTCGGAACAATAATGCAGAAGTGGATGTATGTACTGCCGTTAATGCCTTTGAATATGTATTTTATGAGTTCGTTATATTTTACAATGTTAACGATTTATTTTTACAGGATAGTGAGAGTATTACTTTTACTACTAGCAAATCTAGTATTCCAAAGGAAAAGCCGCAGATTATTCGGCCTCTGTCGAGAAAGGACATTTTTTACAGCGGCAGCGTAGTTAATTTGCCGGAGTATCAGAGTCAAAAGTCGCTTGCAAATTATCGTCAAAGTGTTCTTTCTTTACCAAAATCCGTTCGCGGGGATATTAAAGATACTGATGTCGAAAAGGCACCCGAACGTAAGTAGTTCCCCAAAGAAAGATATGCAGTGTTTCATGAATTTTTATTAATGTCAAAATATATTTTAGAACCACTGTGTCCCTGTTTGGTGTTGCCCGACTCGTTCAAAGAGGCTTTGGCAACAATGATGGACGTGTCTCTGTTGAAAAATCCGGTGTTTCTTTTAATTGGTATCAGTAACGTGTTTGGAATGGCTGGACTGTACGTTCCCTTTGTCTATTTAGTAGATGCTGCGGTTCAAGATGTAAGTTAAACATTGCGACCCTTTTATCGAGTATTGCTTTCCCCTGCGATTAATTCTTAAATGTATATAATTTTTAGAAAATTGAAAGAAATTCTGCATCATATTTGCTATCTATAATTGGTATCACGAACACCGTGGGCCGTGTAGCCTGTGGATATATTGCAGACTTTCCACAAGTGGATTCCTTGCTGTTGAATAATATCTGTTTAATCATATCTACGGTTGCTGTAGCTGCGACTCCGTTTTGCCATTCTTTCCTTGCTTATATCATCATGAGTATCTTCTTCGGCATAGCTATATGTGAGTACCTTAACCGAAGATGCGTCTTTATATCGTTCGATTTGTGTTTCATTATAATGGCAAAGCAACAACTCTATTTTTATTTCTTTTTATTTTTCAGCTGGATACATCTCCTTGACGTCGATTATCCTGGTAGATCTCTTGGGGTTGGACAAATTGACGAATGCATTTGGCCTTCTAATTTTATTCAGAGGAGCTGCCGCTATCGTTGGGTCACCTTTGGCAGGTGCCGTTTACGATGCAACGAAAAGTTACAGCATCCCATTCTTCATGGCAGGATTTTTCTTCTTCTTAAGCACCGTTACCAGTTTCATGGCTCCGGCGATGAAACGATGCACGACACCGCAGGTACGTATAAGAAGATGTTCGAAGCGCGCGATATGAATATTTACCGTCCTTAATTTACCGAATTTGTTACAGACTCAACCTGTGATATTAGATACATTGACTCCGATTGATGAAGATATCGAAGAAGAAAATGAGGACGATATTCCGGAAATCGTAGAAACTGCGCCATCTCCTCAAGAACCACCCGAGAAAGAACTTAAGCAAATAGAGTCTGTTTTATAAGTCTGGTCCGCTTAAGGAGAGAGAGCCGCCTTCACCTCCGAGCCACACTGTGATAGGGCTGCTGCTTTGAGAAGGTCTGAAAAAGGTACTTCTTCGTTATACATTTTAACGGATAAAGCACAAATTAATGGGTGAAGCCTGATGGTATTTTTAACGTACTTAGAACTTTTGCGATAGTATCTAATTTTTTTTATGGAACTAATATATATAAATGCGATGTAAAAATGCCATCAGGCGAGAAACTTCATTTGCCTATGTCAATAGTAGATGATAGATAGAAAAAATTTATTAACTTAATCAGTATAAATTGATCAGTATAAAAAAATGTTGAAAAAGTGAAAAAAATGCTTTTGCACTTGCATATCGAGTAAAATTGAAAGAATATTAATCTTCGTCATAAGTATATATGATGATAAACATTATGATTTAGAATAAGGATGGTCGATCTAAAACTTCGATGACTGGCTCTCTTTTTCTCTCCTCTCCCCGTTAGTACTATTAAGAACACTTACTCGCTTATATTTTTGAGCTAAGATTTACGCGTTGAGAACAACGAAAGGCATTCAATGTTCTATGTCGAGTTACGCAAGTAATTTATGTTACTGTTACGCATCGTATTCGACGCTGTAGAGTTTTAAGCGCGGCCAATGTCTTTCACGATCGACCATTCTTAATCGAGAATTAACCCACCTATATACTTGTCACTTAAATCTATTTTTGGTCGTAATCCAAAGATACAATTCCAATTGATTACATTCAGAGAGATATTTTTCTTGCATACACGACAAATGTATATATTATATAGGCGAAAGAAAGAAGGAACGGTATGTGGATTAGATTACGTACACAAGATAGATTCGCTGTTGCGGGAATCATTGTAAATAAATATAATAGACAAATGTAAAATAGTGTATAACGAATTTTCAAATTAGGCACGTAGAGAATGTTTTCTGTTTCGGAATCTCGTTATCACGGGATCCTCTGTATTAATGTATCGATTAATGAACAATTAACACGCTACTAGGTAGAGACTAATTAATATATTAACGATTCAGATAGAATGTTCATTTCACTGAATGTATAAAAAGAAAAAGGAAAAAAAAAAAAAAAAAAAAAGAATGTCGCGTCCAACAACACGGCTAGTTTGTGTAAATTAATCCTTTGATTAACCGGATTGTCTGTCGGCAAAATATATAAAAATGATTGAAAGCAAATTAATTGACACAAACTAATTCTCAACTAATATGAGCTGTTCGACGCGAGGCACAGCGTACGTGAAAGAGTTCATTGTGTCACTTATATCGTGTAGGTAACTAATTAATTACCGATTATCGCGAAGTAGAAAGAGAACGTTATTCGATTATACAATAATTTTTATTTACAAAACGCATACACGCCTATGATCCGTATAAATTTATAAATTTATATATCTGTATATATAAATTTATATATATACATACACACACACACCCACACACACACATATATACATATACACATATAGATATAGATATATACATATACATATAATATAAATATTATATATATTATATGTATTATATATGTATACTATATTACATACTAAAAAGAAAAGAGTTACTTGTAAATCTTGTTAAACGGCATACGAAAAAATGTTGTACTTGCATGTACATTGTACATACGACGGTTACTGGTAACGGTTATAAAGATCAATTATCGATACGCAGTCTTGGGACGCGGATGAGAAAATAGATAAAAAAGAACCGTTGCTGTCGATACAAATACCAACAGTGCTATTATCATCGCTACTACCGCTATCACTATTACCACTACTATTATTATTACACTATATTACTTAGTACAACTATTACGACACTTATTTTTATTCTTATGATCGTTGTGCAGGAGACCGTGTTTCTTGTGGTTTGAATCAAATATAAAATGTATACATGCTCTACTCAGTCGGAAGTGTGTACATGTGCACGCGTGCCGCGTCGAGTCCTGCAGTTACACTACAATAGAGTATATAAAATATTATATCGACGCGCGTGTTCATGTGGCATTTCGCACGCGCATGTTTTTTCATATGTATGTATGTTGGAACAGGCGGGACATTAGCAGGAGAGATACATGAAGCGTGTGTTTGTCACATGTGTGCATAATAAGAGGCATGCATGCGTATTTGAGCGTTTTAACACACGTGCGCACGGACTCTTGATCCTGTGCATATGTTAAATGAAGAAAAAAAAAAAAAAAAAGTGAGGTATATATATGCTATGGTACAAAGAAGGACAAATGTATTAGGTGACGTTTATTGAAATTGAAGAGGAATTATGAATTTTTATTACTGAAACTTTGCGTTGACTTGTTTATTTATTTACGTGTGTAACTCCCCACGTTCCCACGACGAACTATACGCAATTTTTTTTTGTTCACGGTGTATCCAGCCGTGCGCGCCCTCTACGCTTTTTTTACGATCGTGTTACGTTCGCGGACGTTCTCTATACATAATACCGACAAACTTTTTTCGTCGTATGTAACTGACGAGTGCGCAGTAAATGATCAGCAATAAAACATTGTAATACGTCAACCAGTTTGGATTATTGCCACGTCGACTAATTGCCGATTAGTATTACGCTCGGTAAATCACCGCGCACGCCGCTCGTAAACATATTCGAAACTTTGATGCATACGTACGTTTCGAACGTGTTTGAATAATGTTTCATTTGCGAGAGGTTCGATAACGGATTCACACCAGCGATAGTCGACTGCTGAGTATTAGTATAACCTTGAAAATTACAATGTATATGTATACAAAATTGAATGACGCGTTGTTGACACTATGCCAGCACATCCAAACACTTTATCTTGCCATTTTCGCTTAGAACTCGATGGGATCATGAATCTATCGATACAAAATGTTTAATTCGAGTACTCATTGTGCTTTTTCAGGTGATTCGAAAGAAAAACTCTAACCCAACCAATTTTTACAGTTTTTGGATTTTTTAGTTCCGGGCGTACGATCTTGTGTAAAAATATTATTTTCGTTTTGGTATTGTAATCTGTAAAATTAGAATTATTCCATTTCACCTTAACCGTTCATGATAATTTGTTTTTTTTTTCTATATGTATAAGTAGTGTTGATTAACTTTTTTATTACTTAATTTATGTTTGAATATACTTTTGTATAATGTATATTTTTCTTTCTGAGTTTAGATTTCCTGAAGAGAACGAGATACAAATAAATGTGCTTCATGCATAGTAATGAAACAGTGAAGAAACACACATTATTTTATTTATCATTGGATATCAAAGAGCATCTAAGGAAGAAACCCTACTCTTTCTTTTGGCTATGGAGCAATGAAGTTGTCCTTGGTGACAGTTGAATTGTTTCCAGTTTAATTGACTGCCCCCTCTCCTTTTCCAGTTCCTACCATTGGGTGGTCCAGCCAAATCATTTTAATTCCATCTCACACTTATGGGAGCCTCAAGATTACATACAAAAGATAGAAAAGAGATTCTTTTGCATTCAGAATGAGTACATGATTTGCGTTTTGTCTTTGTTCTGCTAATTGGATTCCCTGCTTTAGACACAATACCATTAATCATTTTAATAATCAGTCTGAACTAATTGTGTACTAATAAACACATCAAAGAGTATTTATTGAGTGCAGTATCTGCCAGATAAGCCTTATTGATGAGTTCAGCTAGCAGATCCGTGACAAAACGCAATAATACTGGTCTTTGTACTAAAAATATTACACGAAATAGATTTTCTTTTAATATACCGAGGACTACTAAAAGGTAAGTGATCCGTGTCACTCTTAACCTCTGAGAGGTCCTATCGATTCAAACATTTTCGGTGTGAAGTTTCTCAATGTGTCCTCGAACTTCAGCGATAATCGCTCGCGTCAGTCGTTTTTACAAGTATCAGCCTGTATAATACGAAGCATTAAAGAGGTCAAGCGCGCCAAAATGTCTGAAGTGTAGCGTTGCAAGCACGGAATGACCGCGCGAATAACCTTTATTCGCGCCAATATATGTATTTCTTTTGCTGATAGAACAATATATGCATAACAGATTAGGGGCGGATCGAGAAGACTTGCTCGGAGGGCGTGAAGTATATAAAAGTATATTTTTGATTTTTTTGTTGATTTATTAGTATTTTTACCCGATAGAAGTTTAAAGAATTACGTTCACAATAATTATTTACTTATACAAATATATCGAAAAGAACGTTTATAGAACACAATGTAAAATGAATAATAATTATATTTTTTTCAGATTTAATAACTCGAGAAGAAGAAGACTAATCATTATTCCCTTAGAACCCCTGTAGCTAATAACTATATTTTTTTTTATTTACAGGATATACACTAAAAGTTATACAAGGTAATACACAATACAATGAAAGGTACTAATATAACAAATTATACACTGATGTGGCAGTTGACGTGTTAATTATTAATAAGTGTATAATGTGACTTGATTGTGTTTTAATCTTTGCAATTTAGTTTTTTTTATATAATCTAAAAAATTATATAAGGACAATTTGTGGAAATGTTGCAAATGAACTTTGATGTACGCGACAAGTAAGCAATTTGTTGACACAGGGAAAGGGGATCGATGGCAGCTTAAGTGGGGTTATGTGACAGTTTTATAGTCATGTGTCTCCACGTATGGTTATGGTTCTATTGTTGAAATCTTGCCGCTAATTTGCCGGTAGACATGTTACTATGGCGCCATGACAGATTTTTGCCGCCAATTTGCCACCCATCAGAACATGAGATATTGCTATCGTGTCGCGATTCTGCAATAGCATTATGATAGCAGGCCACTTCATGCTTTTGTTATCAGTCTGCTAACCGAACGCAATACAACAGATTCCCGTATTGAATTTGTCAACAGGTCGTGTTCATACATAGTAATTGATCTTAATAAAATCTCGATCGAACACATTTCGAAGAGTGACTCGGAAAATGGTGGTATCGCGTGATATTTCTGTAATCGTATGATTTAGTATGAAGCAGTGTTTCATACGCTTCAATTTCCCTCGAGGATTTGAATTGAAATCATATGACTACAAAAGTGATATGATCTAGTCGTATTTAGTCATGCGTTCACGTGGCACCACTGCTGCCATCTTGAAGTTACTCCACGGAAGAAACACGATCGATCAAGAATTTATTGAAATCATTGTATCATACGAGTGATAATATAAATGGTTTGAAATGGATTAAATATATTCACTAATCATTCTTATGACTATGTTTTCGGGCCTGAAACTCTTTATCGCGTTTATATTATTTACTTCTAGATTCTGTTGCATCTTCCCTCGGATATTCCGGGGGCAAGATACATTTTTAAATTTCCTTGACATGAATGAATTGTTGATGGCGTCAGGCACCAAGGACATCTCTGTTTAAATATACGAGTCTACTCGAAACAAAAGGTTTGAAATTTCTCTGAATAATTATTATTATTTTTAAATTTTTTGGCAAATTAATTTCAATGTTAATTCCCATCGTTTGTGTTACAGCTATCGTCTTGCTTAGGTTTGCCAACATTTAGTAACAATCGTCCCCTAAATCTCGCAAACTTAAAAGTAGCAAGCAGTAGCAATTTTGTTCCAAAAAATTTCGACTTCCGAGTGAAAAAAGTCCCATAATTTGTTTCATCTTTGTATAGGCGTAATGTTGGATTCTGAAACTCCACTAGGATACCACCTTGTAGCAAACAAAAAATCCGTCCGCGCGGTTGTTTACAGCACATCCGGGGGATCGTTCCGTTTCCCATCCCCCTCTGTTCCGGACAAACGGGACCGAGACTTCGCCGCGCGATAGGCGTATATTCTTGGCGCGACCTACCTTAAAGTAAACTTACACTTTCGTTTAGGCGCCACCGTGCAACAGGAGGGGCGAAGCACGGGAAACCAAACGGACGGAGAGTTCAGATGAACGCCGCGGCCGTTCTATCGCGCGAGAATTGCAAGTGACTCGTCCTCGTGCGTTTATTGCGGCCACCTCGTGCATTTCGTCTCTCCTCCTCTCTATCGACTTCTTTCATTTTTTCCCGCGCCCGAAACTTTCGTTCCTCTATTCCTAGGTACTCGCTCTCTCGATCGGTTGGCTCGTTTTCTCTTCAGGCGGGGCGGACGACACCAAGCTGCGGGCGTGAAATCGAAGTTCGTCGACGATCATGACACACACGTGAGTGCAGTTCGGTGAAGGTTCGCTGACGCGATACACGAAACACGGGGTGCATTGTTTCTCTGTGACACGTCGATCGTAACGAAGATATCGCGTTTTCGGATCGCGGCGATGACCAATCATCGGTAAAAAGAACGCTGTTTGGAGGAGCGAACAGATCCCTGTAAACGATAGTTATCGCGCGGGCTATTGTTGGCGGTAATCGGGGATCCACCATGAAACTTATCGCGCCAGTCGACACGTTTTGAACGTTTTCACGAAGGAAACACGCCGTGCCGCCGCTAGAAGGACTAGGACGTTTTCTTAGGCGGAACTCGGCGCGAAAAGAGAGCTATCCAGTGCGTATTTCTACGCGCGCGGCGAGTTCGAGCCACCAGACGCGAGGTTACGTTTCGTGCACGTGTACTCGAGCACGCCGCCCTTTAACGCGGGAATAAGTAGAGTCGAAACTCGCGAGCGGTTTGCTCGAACCAGTTTCAAACGCCTGACACCTGGATCGACGAATTTTCGTTAAATCCGAAGACCAGATCCGAATGAATCGAGGTGACGTTACTATTTTATTTATTGTGCTAACATAAGAAAATACCAGTGCCACGGGTACATATACAGTGTCGTGAAAAGTGTAGCATCTAATATCATCGATTTAAACACATTTTGCATAATATTTTGTATCTCGAAAATCTGACGATATTTGCGTTCCGTGTGAAATCTAGTGCGTAGTTGAAAGTGAATGACCGATCATGCAATATATTTAGATGATCGGATCTTTGCATCAGGGTATACCGTTTACTGTGTATGAATGTTGTTGGCAGTTTTTACGTAGCGTTGATCGATGTTTTTGAATACGCAATTAATGTTTTCATAACGTTCGATTGCTGCATCCGAACGAGTGCATTCTTAACATTGCTGTTACTGAAAAAGGAAGGGACAAGGACGACTTTAACTCTCTAATTATGTTAACGAGACGTTATCAGTTTCTACCTGTGCGCCTGGCTCGTAATGTCAATAAATATTTTTACCAACGTTACGTTACTCGGGGGACCACTATCACCGTGTCTTGCGATTAGAAACGACGAAAACGGGTTGCCATGTGGTTCGGTGGTCGCGCAATCTCCCGCTGAAACGGGTTATCGGGCAGTCGCCTCCAGTGTTCTTATCGACGATCGACGGAACCTGCGCGTGACGACATTTTTTACGCGCGACTATTCGATTTCGTCGCCACCGTGTATCGATTCTGGGGGCTTCGAAGGGTTCCGAAAATTATTATTTCGAACCGAAAGTAATAAATAACTCTCGCAATTGCGACGATATAAAAAATATTAGATCGTCCCATATGTTCATACTGCGTTTTTTTAAACATAGAGTGGAATTTTATGAAGACCAGTAAACTCTTCTCGTTTGATAAGTCCCTTTTCTTTGGCAAAAATTCTAGAGGCCAAAATAAGACGAAAATCAAGGATACTAACTTGTTGATTCAGGCTTCGTTACAAAGCTATAGAAACATTTTCGGCCCCACAGTATATTTTTGGTAAAGAATTTTTTTCTCGAAAGTACGTAGGATTTCGGGGGTATGTGTATCCATCAAAAATGATTATCATTGACCCCTGCAACCAAAAATAATTTTTCTGAGGACGATTTGAAATTTTTTAATTTTATCGAAAAATTTCATACCTTCTCGAATTTTTGTCTCGAAAGTGGGTAGGAATTCGGGGGTATGCCTATCCATCAAAAATGATTATCATTGACCCCTGCAACCAAAAATAATTTTTCTGAGGACGATTTGAAATTTTTTAATTTTATCGAAAAATTTCATACCTTCTCGAATTTTTGTCTCGAAAGTGGGTAGGAATTCGGGGGTATGCCTATTCACCAAAAATGATTGTAATTGACTCCCTCAACCGAAAATAATTTTCCCAAAACGAATTGAAATTTTTTAATTTTATCGAAAAATTTCATACCTTCTCGAATTTTTGTCTCGAAAGTGGGTAGGAATTCGGGGGTATGCCTATTCATCAAAAATAATTGTAATTGACCCCCTCAACCGAAAATAATTTTCCCAAAACGATTTGAAAATTTTTAATTTTATCGTAAAATTTCATACCTTCTCGATTTTTTTTCTCGAAAGTGCACAGGATTTCGAGGGTATGTCTATAGACCAAAAATGATTATAATTGACCCCTGCAACCAACAATAATTTTTTTGAGGTCGATTTGAAATTTTTAATTCTGTCGAAAAACTTCACACATTTTCGAATTTTTTTCTCGAAAGTAGGTAGGATTTGGGGTATGTGTAATGACCAAAAATGATTGTAATTGACCCCTGCAACCAAACATAATTTTTTGAGGTTGATTTGAAACTTTTAATTTTGTCGAAAAATTTCACACATTTCCGAATTTTTTTCTCGAAAGTGGGTAGGATTTCGAGGGTATGTCTATAGACCAAAAATGATTATAATTGACCCCTGCAACCAGCAATAATTTTTTTGAGGACGATTTGAAATTTTTTAATTTTGTCGAAAAATATGTCCACCTACTGAATTTTTTTCTCAAAAGTGGATAGAATTTCGGGGGTATGTGTAATGACCAAAAATGATTGTAATTGAGCCCCACAACCAAAAATAATTTTTTCAGAACAGTTTGAACCTTTCTTTTTCGTCGAAAAATTGCAGCACATTCCCCCTGTCGATTTTTCTTAATAATTCATTTTTATTTTTAATAAATTTGTTTGTCGTCCTACGGAAATTTTGTTGAGTACTTTTTTATAGGTATCCATGAACTCTACTTCACATTTACTGTTGTGCATCAGGAATTCAGACTAACATCGAACGATGTTATTGCGTTCCGTGCACGACCAGAATCTGTCGTTCTTGCGTTCACGGCGAACATTATTTATCGCGTGTAACATTCATCATTACTGAATCACTTTCAACGGTCTTGTCCAAACGAAATCTCCTTGGATCGATCGGTGTGAGAAGGAGATTGCGAACGCTCAACGAAAGGTCGAGATTAATGATGGGACTGAAATATGCATCGATACTATCGATGCATTTACATTCGAAATTGATAATTTAGTATCGAATTATTCTACGGTATGTCTTTCCACCTATGTACAGGGTGTCTCGTTAACTCTGTTGCAAAACGTACACCTCGATAACTCGGAGTCGATCGAAACTGTTAAAATTTTTAACGATTTTCTGTTCTAAGAAAATAGAGAACGAGGTGTATTCCGTTAAAAATTCCACTAATTTCTGCATAAACAGATGAATTTTACTGTTTCGGAAATGGAAAGTAGTTAAACTTTGCCACATCTGTTTCTCGGTTCTAAGAATATACTCAACATTTGCCCTTTTAGCGTGAAATATAGAAATGTTTCATAGATTAACGGTGTACTCGTTATTTTATAATATTTCTAACGACACTATTATTTGAAAGTTTATTGGCGATAGGATTTATTTGAAAGAAACGATACAAGCTTGGAAGAGTCGGTTTTTAGTGAAAATTATTAATTCCAAATAATAGGTATTCCTAATTTCACAATGACTATATTATATTTCAATTTAATCAATATTCCTGACATCGATTGCAAAAAGTGGTCGATTTGGCACGGAATTCTTCCGAGGACCTTCGAATTCCTCATGCAGGCGGCTTTCTATGTCCGTTGCATCATACTACTCGTTTTTAGAGAGAAAAAGTAACTCCAAGTTTTTAAAACTATAAAAATACGAAGCTTGAAATTCCTGAAAGTCTTGAATGTTTTAAACTATTAAAATTTCAACGTTTTAATGAAAATTGTTAAACTACATTTTAATAAAAAATCAAAGAAGTTTTGTAGCGACGATACAATGGCTTTGCCAAAGGAAGGGGAGGGAGTTATCGAAAGAGAAGAGGTTTACTGTTTTTCATAAAATTCGATTATATGTTTAAAACATTGTTTTGAGTTGTAGTAAAAAATTTGGCACGAACATATGGGACGACCTAACAATTTCCCATATTTGGGATATTTTTATTTCGAAGACCTTAAGTGTGATGAATCGAGGAACGTAACAGGATTAAAGGGGGATTCCCGCGTAACAGCGTTAAAATTAAAGTTTCATTTTTAATTCTTTTCGTAAAGAATTGAAAGTTTCATTGTACTAGACTTTCAGGACGAACAGATACCTTTACACTGTATAATATACTATATAATATTGAAAAATTTAAACAATTAGAGCATTTTGAAGAAAAAATTTGTATACTAAAATAAAATTTATACCAAAAAAAAATTTGTATACCAAAAAAAATTGTTTCTTCAAAATGCAATAGTTTTATACATTTTCCATATTTTTTATTTAAAATAGGCACAGTATCAATAGAAATCAACCAGCCTTAACCCTTAACTGTACTCTCAATCCAACAACCGAATTATTTTACTTGATTTTCATTTTTACCAAATTGGTAAATGAAAATCAACTTTCCTTTGAAGCATTTAAAAAATAATAAACTAATAGAAGATTACATTCACTTTCGAACAGTTACATTGATATATATAAAGTAATTGTTAGTTTAAACTTGTGGAGGGATGTTACGCTGTACACCAACTTGGATAGGAGTAACTACTATTCAATAAAGGATAATAAAAAGTGGACTAAAAAAATATTTTCGTACAGTTCAAGGGTCCCTCTCCAGATACCTAAAAGTCTAGTACAGTAGAACTATTAATTCTTTACGAAAAAAAATTACTAGTTTAAACTTGCGGAGGGATGCTACGCTATACACCAACTTGGTTAGGAGTAACTATTATTCAATAAAGGATAATAAAAAGTGGACTAAAAAAATATTTTCGTACAGTTCAAGGGTCCCTCTCCAGATACCTAAAAGTCTAGTACAGTAGAACTATTAATTCTTTACGAAAAAAAATTACTAGTTTAAACTTGCGGAGGGATGCTACGCTATACACCAACTTGGTTAGGAGTAACTATTATTCAATAAAGGATAATAAAAAGTGGACTAAAAAAATATTTTCGTACAGTTCAAGGGTCCCTCTCCAGATACCTAAAAGTCTAGTATAATAGAACTTTTAATTCTTGAGGAAAAAAATAAAAAATTGTAATTTTAGCGGTGTTACGCGAGAATCTCCCCTTAAGGGGTCTGGTAACTCTAGAATATTGAAAAATTCGATTTTTTTTTTGGCTTAAATAATAGTTTGAAGCCTTAAAAACATTATGCGAAAGGTCTCTGTGTCGGAACAATGTTTTTGCTGAAAATTTAGAGCCCCAAACGATGACGTGTATCTGCGTCCTGTATCGCATTAAATGCATGTTCCTCGGAACTATGTTTTACAAAACGGTGTGCAGCATTACTCCAGTTTTAATTAATCAATTGCTTTGAAAATTTACAGTTATCTTTACTATTATATTTATTAGGCATTGACGATCCGTTTATTTCAAAATTGTCAAATAATTCTGCAAAATACTGGTAATAAGAACTCGTTTTTGTGTTAAAATTCGATTTTAAATTTCAAATATCTGCCACATTGTTCATTTTTATATAAATTGAAATGTCTCA